TTTTCATAGAAATTTGTATTTCTTTGGTGACTGTTGTGATGTTTCCCTGTTCATTTCTGCTCCTGCTAATTGATGGCCTCTCCTTCTTTCTTTTGGTTGGGTCAAGGGTCTCTCAACTTGGTTTATCTTCTCAAAGCACCAGCTCTTAGAGTCATTGATTCTTTTTTTTTTAATTTATTATGTATACAATATTCTGTCTGTGTGTATGCCTGCAGGCCAAAAGAGGACACCAGACCCCATTACAGATGGTTGTGAGCCACCATGTGGTTGCTGGGAATTGAACTCAGGACCTTCGGAAGAGCAGGTGATGCTCTTAACCTCTGAGCCATCTCTCCAGCCCCGAGTCATTGATTCTTTATACTGTATTCTTTGTTTCTGTTTCATTCATTTCTGTTCTGATTTTTTTTTTATTATTTCTTCCCATATCCTAGGTTTGGGTTTGCTTTCTTCCTGTTTTTCCAAATTCTTTATTCGTGCTTTTTATGATTTTTTTAATATAAGCACTTGGAGCTAAAAACTTCCCTCCTAAGACTGTTTCCAGTGTGTCCCAGAAGGTCGTGTTGTGTTCTCTTTTCATTTAATTCCAGGAAGTTAAATTCTTTTGATTTCTTCTTCAACCCATTCATCACGCAGTGATGTGTTGTTTAATCTTCACGAGTTTTTGCATTCCTAGAGATTCATTGCTGCTGATTTTAAGCTTTAGAGCACTGTGGTCTGAGAGAATATGCAGAGGTTATTGCAGTCTTCCTCAGTTCACTAAGATTTGTTTTCTATGTCATGATGTGGTTGCCTGTGAATAGAATGTATGTTCTCTGTGTTTATGTGGGCTACTCTGTGGATAATTGCGGGGTTGTTGAAATAGGAGCAGCGGGGCTGCGTCCCCAGCACCCCGGCCGCCTGCTAGCTCATGCCCGAAATAACAACACACAAATTGTATTCTTTTAAACACTGCTTGCCCATTATATCTAGCCTCTTCTCGGCTAACTCTCGCACCTGGACTAGCCCATTTCTAATAATGTGTGTAAGCACCCCAAGGTGCGCTTACCGGGAAGATTCTAGCCTACGTCCATCCTGAGTCGGAGCTTCATCACGTGTGTCTCTGAGAGCAGAGCTATCTCGCGTCTCTCGGAGGAGTCTTACCTCACGTCCTCTTCCTCCTGTTTACTCCTCCCACCTATGTTTTAACCTATCAGGGCAAGCAGTTTCTTTATTTAATTAACCAATGAAATCAACAGATTGATATGACACTCCCACATCACGGGGTCTACCTGATTATGATGTCATTTAATTCTGATGCTTCTCTGTGTGTATTTTGTTCAGATATCCTGTCTATTGCAGAAAGTGGGGTATTAATTGCTTACTTCCTAATTATTGAGTTGGAGATAATCTGTGTCTTTCAGCCCAGTAGTACACTTTCTTTGAAATTAAGGGCATATATGTTTAGGGTAGTAGTGTCTTCTTAATTAATTCCCTTAATAAAACGAGGTCCTTTTCTATCTCTTCTGATTTATTCCAGTTTGAGTTCTGTCTTGCAGGACAGCAGCACCTGCTGACTTCCTGGCCCCTCTTGCTTGGAGTAGTCTTGTTCACCACTCAAGGGTGGTTCTGATCTTTGAAGGCAAAATGAGGTTCTTGTAGGTGCAAGGAGGTGAATTTTGTTTCTTAATACATTCAGCCAACCTGTGTCTTTTGATTAGGGAGTTGAGGCCATTAATATTTAAAGTTATTATTGGAAGGAATATGATACTGGGTGTGGCAGCACACACTGTTAATCCTATTACTCAGAAGGCCGAGACAGAGGATCTCTGTGAGCTCAAGGCCAGCCAGGGCTACAGTGTGAGAACTTTCTAGTCTAGAAAGGGGCATGGAGGGAGGAAGGTATGTGTTGGTTCTGCCTGTGTGTGTGTTCTTAGTCCAATTTTGTGTTCAATAATTATACTTTTGCTTCCCTTCTATAGTGTCTTAGGTCTGCTTATCCCTCTGCTCAGTCTGAAGTAACACTTTCTGGATGCCTTGTAGAGTGGATCTGGTGGACATAAATTTTTTTAACCTGTTCATATCATTTTGGAAAGTTGTTTTTTCTCCTTCAACTGTCAGATAGCGTTTCTAGGTACGGTAGCCTATGTTGGCATCTGTGACCATTCAGAGCTTGAACTACATTGCTCCAGGCCCTTCTGGCTTTTAATTTTCCAATCGAGCAGTCGGTTCTTTTCCTGGGTTTTCCTTTTTGTGTGGCTTCTAGTTTTTCCCTTGCAGTTTTCAATACTCTCTCTTTGTTCTTTCTTTTTAGCTATGTGAGGCTGTGGGGAATATTCCTTTTCTAGTCCTGTCTAATTTGGTGCTTTGTGTATTTCTTGTGTTGGTGTGTGTCCATGTGTGTGTGTGTTTGTGAGTGTGTGTCTTGTTTCTATGTGTGTCCATGTCTGTGTGTCCGTGTGTGTGTGTTTATCTGTGTGTGTGTCTTGTTTCTATGTGTGTCCGTGTCTGTGTGTTCATGTCTGCATGTGTATGTGTCTGTGTGTCTGTGTGTCTGTGTGTGTGTGTGTGTGTGTCTTTCCTTGCTCTGGAGAAGTTTTTCCTATGATATTATTGAATATTTAGTCTATGCCATTGACCTAGGATTCTTCTTCATCTATGCCTATAGTTCCAAGATTTTGTTTTTTTCAGCATGTCTTGAAGTTCCTGTATATTTCCTTTGAGTGTTTTTAAATTTGCTTATGTTCTTGGCCTGAGTCACCTAATATCACTTTTTTGTCTTCACGTCCTGATATTCTGGCTTCTGCTTGCTTCGTTCTACTTTCTCGGGCTTTCCCCTGCATTTTCAAACGAGGTTAGTGCGTTTTTCAATGACGTCTTCACGTCAGCCTGAGCCCCTTCGTTATTTCTACCTCTTTATTCGCTTTGGGTTTCAGATCCTAAATTGTCTTCATTAGTTCGCTCGGCTGCGTGTTTCTGCTTTCTCGGCATCACAGTCATCGCCGGTCTCTCTAAATTCATTAAGCCGTGTATTTGTTTCTTTAAATTCCTTGTGCTCTTTGCTTACATGTTATGATTGTTCTTGTAAATTCTGTCCTGGGGTTCATCTAGGTAATTCTTATTGGAGAATGATTCTATGGTGGATGGGGGGGGCTGTGACATACTGTAACGGGCCCTTCATATTTGTGGTTTGGGCTAAGACCTGGACACACAGAGTTCCATTGGTTAGTTGTCTGATATGAGATTTTAGGCAGCTTCTATGGAGGGCGAGCTTGAATTTTGGTCTGTTTGTGTATTTTTGTTTTTGTTTTTGTTTTTTTCTGTTGTTTCCCAAGCTTGGTTGAATTCATTTAATCAGACATGAGGAGTTGGTAGCAATGCCTTTGGTTGCTCAGTAGTAATTTTGATCAAAGGAATGGGGATAATTCCAATTCAGGGGTAACCAAAAAAGCATAGAATGGACAAATGGTTGGATCTGTTTAGGCTTTGCTGCCTGAGTTATGCCAGGGAGTGTGAGGGTGGCACGAGTGGGGTCTTGGGCACACACCCAGCAGAGCCGGCATACAAGCTGTGTGACAGGCTCAAGGTTTGGGGTGATGTGCACAGGCAAGGTACCAGGAACTCACCAGGCTGCACTGGAGCACAGAAGTCCCGGTCTAGATCTGGAGGTTGGGTGTGGTGCAAGCTGCCCAGGGTCTGGAGACTCAACAGACTGGGTCAGCTCATGGTATGTGCCACCTAGGCTGAATTTGAAGGCTGGATATGGCATGTGTGAGCTAGTATAAATGGAGACTGCTCTTTCGTTCCTGGCCGCCCAGACCCAAATAATCACACAGAAACTATATTGATTACAGCACTGTTTGGTCAATAGCTCAGGCATATTTCTAGCTAGCTCTTACATCTTAAATTAACCCATTTCTATTAATCTATGTATTGCCACAAGTCTGTGGCCTACCAGTAAGGTTCTAGCATCCTCCTCCTTTAGCAGCTACATGGTGTCTCCTTGACTCCGCCTACTCTCTATATATATCTCTGTTCAGATTTCCCATCTGGTTTTACTCCACTAGGCCATTGGCCAGAGCAACTTTATTCATCAACCAATAAAAGCAGCACATGTACAAAAGGACATCTCACATCAGGCTCACATCTTAGTGACTTGCCAGACTGAACTGGACCACAGGAAGTGTGACCCATGCTAGGTCTGGAGGTTGGGTATGGTGCTAGGGAATTTGGAAGCACTAGGGTCTCAACTAGGCTGGTGCCCAGGATGCTCTACCAGGCACAAGCCTGGAGGCTGGGAATGGCACAGGAGGGGTCCGCAGACTGGCCTGGTGATCAAGACGTAAGAGTCTGGCTAGGTCTGTTGCCTGAGAAAGAGTCCAGGTGGGCTAGGGTCAGACAGACATGGCAGGCTGGAAAAGAGCACAGGACGTGTGACCCAGGCTAGGCCTAGAGGTTAGACATGGTACAATGTCGGGGACCAGCCTCGACAAAAATACCTCTTGCCAGGGTAGAGGTGTGGGGATTTAGAAAATATTAGTAAGAAATATGAAGACATGAATGAAAATAATAAAACAGAGAAACATAGAATATCGGGAGGGAATTCCAGTGAGTACTGGAATTCGCCCTCATTTAATGTCCAATTGCTTAAAATACCCCTGAACCCTAAAAGGTAGGAGCAAAAAACTGCACTAACATGATACGAGGAAATGAACATACCAATTGAAGGTTGCGGGCTACATCCACAGTTAAACATTCTGTTGCTAGAACAAAACAAGTCATGCTCACAATCTAGACCAAAGCATTCTGTAGGCAAACCACTCCCTTGGTGGAATCCAAAGTTATCTCCTTCAGGGATAACTGCTCCCATTTGCCGTCTGGGGCACCTCAGCTCTGCTTTGTAGCCTAGGCCCTAAAACATTGCATGTCTGAGGGAATTCTGTGTCCCTGAAGAGGTGACTTGGTGGTTATGCAGACAGATGGGAGCCCGCAGTGACTCGCTCCCCTTCTCTCTCACCGTCAAGCCTGAACCTGAGCAACAGTGACATCCTGACCATCTATGATGGTGATGAGGTTGTGCCCCATGTCCTGGGCCAGTACTTCGGCAACAGCAGCCCTCAGAAGCTGTACTCCTCCACGCCGGACCTCACCATCCAGTTCCACTCAGACCCCGCCGGCCTCATCTTTGGCAAGGGCCAGGGATTTATCATGAACTATATAGGTAGGTATTTCAACCCATCAGTCTTGTTTGTGTTGGAGGGAGGTTGTGCGTGGTGATTTCCTGTAGGCACATCAGCTTCATGGCTGATGGATCTGTCAATGGCTGGTGTAGCTCCACCTTCTGAGCCTGCTCTTCCTACGGGCACCCCTTCTTCCAAGTCACTGAACAGGGCAGCTCTGCCTACCCTTCTCCATGTGCCTCAGGGCCTGGGCAGGCAAGCAGGGTACATCTTCCTTGGTTCTCAGTGTGACTGATGAATTATTCTCCCCTTCCCCCTTCCCCACCATAACCCACTAAATAAATATCCAACCTAACTCCACATGGTGTGCGTGCCTATCATCTCTGTCTCTCACCCGCCGTGGCTCCTCATGGGACCAACTGACCCACTGAGATCTCTCACCTGCCGCAGGAATCCCTGCCACCTGCTGCCCCTCAGGGAACAGAGCTGTTTTATTTTTACCATTATACTCACCCCCTTTCTTTCTTTCCGTCCATGTTCCAGCAGGTGCAGCTGAGCCCCAAATCCAGCACTTGGCAGATTTTTTCAAAGACCTAAAAATAGGGGCCCCTGCTTCCCTCCAGGCAACTCTAGAAGCGATCTCCCTGTCCCCTTCCTTCAGACAGCCAGGAGAGGTCGTTTCTCCAACTAAAACTGTACTGAAATCCTGGGGGAAACCCCTGCCGACTGCTCATGATAGCTTTCCTCAGGCAGCCGAGGCTACTGCTGTCCCCAGGAACTATAGAATTGCCTCAGGTCTGCGCCGTGCAGTCTGAGGCAAGCATAGGAAGAGTGACAGCTCTGTAGGAGGAAGAGCGGGTCCCAGCTCAGTGGCATCTCTAGGTGTCCTGGGTTGTGGCAAATGTTCTTCAGCACCGTGCAGCTTGAGCTGAAGAATTTGCGAGTGGTTGCTGTCACTCGTGGTAAACCGTTGTCTTGCTGTGAACTGATCTTCCACAGTTCAGGTAGCAGCTAACTGCACCAGACTCAGTCCCAAACCTAAGGAAGATGTTTTGTTTTAAAGAGGTGTCACGGAACGACTCCTGCTCAGATTTGCCCGAGATCCAAAATGGCTGGAAAACCACTTCCCACACTGAGCTGGTCAGGGGAGCCCGGATCACCTACCAGTGCGACCCTGGCTATGACATCGTGGGGAGCGACACTCTCACCTGCCAGTGGGACCTGAGTTGGAGCAGCGACCCCCCATTTTGTGAAAAAAGTAAGAGACTTTTTTTTCTCTCCCTAAGTCCCTCCCAAGGACACACATCACACGTAATCAACCTTACCTGTTTAAGGTCAGAGCGGTGGGGACTGTGAAGAATGAGAGAGTCCAACCAGTGTGGACGTGATGCTGAGTCTTTAAAGTGTCTGTAGAACCAAGCGAGGCAAGTCAAAGCCATCCGTCCAGTTCTAGGCTCCCTCCACAGGCAGCCAGGCTCCTTCCTTCTGACCGCCCCGGAAATGCAGGGCCACAGGGCCAAGCATGGACAGTAGCTGTGCCCCGCCATGAAAGGGGGGTAAGAAAAGCAGGGGCTGCTAGTTCCTTGCTGACGTCCTACTGCCACAGAAAGAGCTGGGCTCTGACACGGCCTCTTCTCCTGGCCAATTTCTCCCCACTTCCTGCATCAAATCCCCAACCCCAATCCTGTTATGGGAACCTCCAGGTGACATTTTAATGTTCTTGATCCACAAGATTAGACTCAGAATAACTCAAGAATAACAAGTGTTGGCAGAGGGCAAGGGTGATGGGGCAGCGACAGAGTAGGGAAGGAAAAAGACAGCAACACAGGGAGACCATGGTCAGCCACATATATACGTGTGACAGCTGTGGCACCTGGCACACTCAGAAGGACCCAGGTAGGCAGGAGGGTAGGTGGATGGATAGATGGATGGATGGATGGATGGATGGATGGATGGATGGATGGACGGACAGATGGGTGTATGGGTTTATAGATACAGATGGGCCTGGTCTGTACATTGGTCAATACTGACATTTTCTATGTAGGTATTTCTCTACCTCTCTCCATGTATAGATGTCTGTTCATATCTGTCAATAGATGTATGTGTGTGAGATTTTTGTGGCTTCCTAGACATAGATACCTATGCAGATAAGACAGTTATAAACCATATGTTTGACATACAGCGTGTATTATATATACATATATACAAGGTAACTGATGCATAACTATATATGTGGCATATGACTGTGACTATGTCTATATAAAGCTCTATCTAGATGATTCTAGATGGACAGACATACAGACAGGATAGAGGGACAGATGGACAGAGGATTGAGGGATGGGTGGACAGACATATGGCTTACAGATAGGAGTAGCTGCAGAAGGTATTCCACATTGAGGGATGCACACACATAAACTGTCAGTGGCTGAGGAAGGTGGACGCTGTCCACACCACTCAGGTGTTCACTTCCTTCCTTTCTAATTAGTTTACTGTTTCCCTTTTATCTGTATCGATTTTCTAATAAAAGTGTAATTGATGCTTGTTTTTTAGTGTCAGGCATTACAGAGAGCAGGGACAACCCTCACTTTGTTCCCCCCGCTCTGGCCACTGCTAGGGATTTCATAGAATGGGTACTCAGACTGGGTCCTTCCCTCCCCACCGTGCTCAGCCTACATACACACCATGCTAACCCTCCTCAAGTGCTCCCCGCCCATGCTCACCCTTCTCACAGTGCTCCCTGCCCATGCTCACCTTCCTCACAGTGCTCCCCACCCATGCTCACCCTCCTCAGAGTGCTCCCCACCCATGCTCACCCTCCTCACAGTGCTCCCCACCCATGCTCACCCTCCTTACAGTGCTCCCCACCCATGCTCACCCTCCTCACGGTGCTCCCTGCCCATTCCCACCCTCCTCACAGTGCTCTCGCCCATTCCCACCCTCCTCACAGTGCTCCCCGCCCATGCTCATCCTCCTCAGTGATGATTTGATACCTTAGATGTAGGTTTGGGTCCTGGTGAAAACCTTGGGGGAGTTTTCAGTAATACATTAAAGTTTATTTCTCCTCCCACCTGACCTATGTCCCCGAAGGGCAAAGGACTGACGTAAGACGCTCTTGAGATCTCCCCATAAGTCTGGGCGACCCGTGGTGTCACTGTGCATCCGTGTGCTCCTCTCTCCGCAGTTATGTACTGCACCGACCCCGGGGAGGTGGAGCACTCCACCCGCCTCATCTCCGACCCCGTGCTGCTGGTGGGCACCACCATCCAGTACACCTGCAGCCCTGGGTTCGTTCTTGAAGGGAGCTCACTTCTCACCTGCTACAGTCGCGAGACAGGGACTCCCATTTGGACATCCCGCCTGCCCCACTGTGTCTGTGAGTCCTGCGTTCAAACTGCGGTCATTGTTTCAGGCTTGCTTCTCCCACTACCTGCTACCGAGGAGACCGCCCTGGGGGAGGGACCACATTGCGTGTGTTGTTACCACCACACTCCATGACAGTTGGCACTGGCAGGCACTTATGCAAAGGCTTTCAGGTAAACCCTGAAACTCCGTCAGCCCTCTGCCAGGTTTCCCTCACCTCTCTCTTGTTTTCTCATTAAGAAGAGGGTGTTGGGGCTGGGGAGACGGCTCTGTGGATGCCACACTAGCTTCAGGGCTGAGTTTGGGTCCCCAGCTCCCACAGAAATGCGATGAACTGAAGTAGGTGGTGTTAAGTCTTGGCGAGTACTTGGCCAGGCCGAGTTCCACAGGGAGAGATGGGGGAAGGGAATGCAAGGCTCAGAAAGTGGCCACCACCTAGTTAACAGAGTTCAGTTGCAAGGCCAGGCTTCTGGTGAGCCCAGGAGTCCTGCCCACGGCAACTATAGACCAGGACGGTGTAACCAGCAGAGAGCGTCGCACGCCATTGAGGTTCGAAGCAGCTGTGTTCCCAGTGCCCATGTCTGGCGGCTCACAACCACCTGTAACTTTAGCTCCAAGGGGTCTGACTTCCTCTTCTGTGCTCTGACGGCCATACTCTGACAAACACAGAAATTCAAACAGTCAGCCATACAGGCTGGGAGGTCACCGAGAGGTGTGGGCAGTTGAGACCCCAGATAATACACCTAAGCCTCAGGAGCCTAGGGGAGAACAGAGCCCTGGCAGGGGACAGCTGGTGGCCTGGCTGCTCCTCCAAGGGGAGTCCATTCTGTGACCTGTCAGCCAGGCCTGGCCCCCAAGGACTCCAACAGCAAGAAGCCCCACAAACAGACAGGCAAGGCCCCTGAAAAGCACGGAGGCCCTGTCCTGGGGTGGCTGCTCATGGCTCTACTGTGAGCCTGGCCTTAGGCAGCACGCCAAAACCTCAGCTCCTCTGTTGCTGGAAGAAAAAGCCCTGAGGTGTGTCGCTTCTGATAGAGAAGAAAGAGAAAATGAAGTCCTAGAGACTTCACCTCTCCTCTGCTTGTGACCAAGAAGGACCTTGGTCCTCGGGTTCACCTGTGTCTGCATATGGAAATTACGGAGCCGAGATTCACAAGGTGTAGGAGCCTTCGTTACTACAACCAGGCCCTTGAGGCAGATTGATTTAGAAAGAAAAAGGGTTCATTGAACCCCCAGTCGTTAGTCCAAAGGCAGCTGGTCTGATGTACATCTTGACCAAAGTTTGTGCTGAGGCCAAGAGCTGAGGTTAGGGTCCCATCATCCATAATGGAACAGCCGAACAGCCCCTGGACCTCTACCAGGTCCCATCTCCCACAGCACCACCCTGGGGAGCAAGCCCTCACACATGGACCTCTGAGGGACACACAACATCAGAAGAAGGGGGGCAGCCTCCAGAGCCCATGGCATGAGCTCTGGGCCCACCCAGCGACTTCCGAATGCTCAGACACACCATTCTTGCAACCAAGGCTGCAAAGACACCCTGGTGGTGGCCAACAAGCCCAAAGACCCCCAAGCCTGAGCCTCCCTCCCCTGGGACCAGTGTTCCTGGAAATACCCATGTCAGGTGCAGGGCTGAGTGGAACTGGCTTCCCTGACACCCGTGCTAATGAGCTCACAAGTCATAGCAGGTGTCAGGACACTAGAAAGCTCTGGGAGAACCTGGGGGAGGGGCGAGGGAACGTTCCTTCTCATGGTCGCCTGGGCGGGAGGCTGAAAACGGAATCGAACCAGACTCAGATTGTAGCTCGGCCCCTTCCTCCTTGTCAGACACTGACAAATGAGGTGCCTCAGTTTACCTATCTATAAAATGGCAATGCAGCGAGCTGTTGACAACGGAGGCAAACTTCCCACAAAACCTGTCTGCACCGGCTGTTGGCTGAGCCGACTGTGACAGGTGACCCAGTGGTTCTTTGCCACAGCTGAGAAGGGAGGAAGACGGTCGGACCCGAGTCTCCAGGTCTCCTGAAGACCTGACAAAGGATTTCTGAGCCACGTGTGGTGTTTGGTGTACCGATAGCCCCAGCACTGCTGAGGCAGGAGGACTGCAAGGTCAAGGCCAGCCTGGTCTGTAGAGTGGCGAGACCCTGCCTCCAAACAAGCCAAGCTGGCTGAGGGTGTGTGGCTGTGAGACGACACAGGAATTTGGTCTTGACTGCTTAGAGACATAGAATGGCTGTCATCTATCCAAAGTGAACATCTGAATACTTCAGACATGAACTCAGTGACAAATTAGCCCATTGGCCATACTGTGATGTCACCTCTTCTCTGGGAGCCCAGCCAGACTTGCAGTCACCTAGGAGACACACTTCTGGACACATTCATGCTGCATCTCCAGAGAGAAGACGCCATCACGGATACCATCCCTTGGGCTGAATAAAAAGGGGGTTCCACCTCTCTGTCTCCTAACTGTGTGCACAGTGTGACCCGCTGCCTCGCCCTCCTGCCACCATGCGCTCCTCGCCCCATGGACGGCACCCTCAACTGTGAGACAGAATAGACCCTTCCTTCCTGAGCCACGCAGGGATGTTTCGTCACGGCAACCAGGAAACAAGTGACAGATGTAGATTGTACCGGGCCTTTCAGAACAGCACCCTGCGATTCCAGCATGCGGGGGTCACTCAAGATAGACAATTCCAGGAAGGATTACAGAGAAATCTCCTGGGGCGCTGCTGCCATCTTCTGGTCCGTCATTTCTGGGTACCTCAGGGGTTGCGCGGGACTTTCAAGGTGTCCCTCTGTTCTGGGAAGATGGAGGCACTGCTGACCTCCGGGAGAACAGAACAGAAACCATCTCACTGCCTCCACTCCAGCCGGCTCCCAGGACAGGCCTGGCACAGGCAGGGTGCCCATCAGCTGTCTACCGAGTGGCACGCACAGTTGGTGGTGGCTGCAGGACCTTAGGCCGACAGGGCCTAGTGAACTTTCTCCATGAGACCTCTCGCTTCAGCTGAATAAGCAAACCAGAAAGATCAGAACCGACGTTTAGCCTGGACAGCACAGCACACTCTGTCCTCTCCTCCCTGGGTGGAGCTAAAGCAGGAAGTTCATGAGTTCAAGGCTAACCTGGGCTACAATGTGAGACCCTGTCATTAAAAACCAAAGGCTAGGAATGTAATTCACTGGTCAAGTATTTGTTTAGAGTACCTAAGACTCAGAAAATAAACTAAAAACGGAATTAAATTTAAAAGTCCTCCCTCCCACAAGCGCAGGCTCACTCTTCAGGATTTAACAATCCCTCTCTGTGCCTCAGATCCCGTCCGTGAAAGCTGTAAAGCAAGGAGTCTTGGGGATTTCCCAGGAGGCACTGCAGCATGATTGTGGGTTGACGGCAAAGCTCAGACTATGCCCAGAGCCAAGGGCAGACTTGAAGTCTATGGATGACCTTCGTCTCATGGCACGACAGCATTGGCCAAGCCTGGTCCTCTGAGCCACTCTCGGAAGCTGATTTGAAGGGGACTCTGCACAGGTGACACCCTTCCTCTCTTGGAGGAGGGCTCTCCAGCACGTGAGACTACATCTGTCTCCTTCCACATGTGTGTCTAGTGGACTCCCGAGAGCGTGAAGTGCACACGGTCTCAAGGGCACGACACCGAGTGGCCTGCCCAGTTTCTCTGCAGGTTCCACAGCCAGGCAAGGCTGTAGGAAATGGGTGTGAGTGCCTGCCAGGATGTGCCCACACTATCACTGCCGTCTGAGATACACCGTCCAAGATAAGCCTCCAACTGTACGGTGGCCAGGAAGGGCCCTTTCTGCTCAGCCACATTGTGTTGGTCACTCTGTTAGTTTCTGGCAGAGAAAAGGTTCTAGCCTGGCCCTGTGTTCTGCTGTGTGCCTCCGGCCTCAGCCTTGTGGAGCCAAGCTTGAATTTGTCTTATTTATCTCGGTGAACACTGTGAGGACAAAATGCTATCAAGAAGCAATTTCAAAAGGAAGAGGTTGATTCTGGCTTACAGTGGAGGGGCTGCGATCCAGCGTGGTGGGGGAGGGGAGGGTGGGAGCAGTTAGGTAGGCCATCACATCTGCACTCAGGAAGCAGAGAGAGAACGGAAACGGGAAATGGTGCCAGGCCAGGAAACCTCAAGGCCCACCCCTAGTGAGGCTTCACCACTTGAAGGTACAATGACCTTCCCCCATTGGTGCTCCAGCCTGGCCACAAGGGCTCAGTCACACGAGCATGCAGGTGACACTTTGCGGTGTCATTCACACAACAGCATGCCTCATTCTTACGTGCTGGCCCGTGGTAACCGTGCAGGATGCAGCTGACTAAAAACCTGGGTCCTGTGACCCAAAGCCGGTGCTGGGCACTGGGGTCCTGAATGAACCCAGTATAATGCTGAGTTCGGGACGGGTAGCACTGGAGAAAGCACACACACTACCACCGCACCCACCACTACACACGGTGCTGGAGATGTTCCTGAGTTCCGGGAGGGGGAGCCCTGGAGAAAGCACACACACTGCCACCGGCACCCACTACCATGCGCAGTGCTGGAGACGTTCCAGAAGCTCCAAGGACACTGAAATTCCCAGGGACAGAGTCAGCCAAGGGGTCGTTAGATGATGCATCTTACAAAACAAGAGGCAGCACCATTTCAGGCCCTCGCTGTGGGTCACAAGTCTGGGGTCCTTGTAGAGCCCTCAGTCCACACCATGTGGACCCCTGATGGCAGCGCACACCACAGCCAGGTGTCTCACCCGCCACAGCGAGGCTGCATTTTCTAGAAAGAAAGAAGTTCCCATCTCAGGCAGTGCGATCACAGGGGTGGTGTCCCAACCCTTCCCAGGTTCACAGCTGAAAGCAAGGCTTGGGATCCTGGCCATACTCAGGGGACAGTCCCAGGAGGTGGAGACCACACAGCCATCTCCACTTCTGTCTGCGCAGCTCACCGGTGACAAAGGGAGAGAACACACGGGGGGGGGGGGGGGGGG